GTGAAACAGTAGGGGAATGCAACGGATGACACATGATCGACAGCGAACCCTGATCCATAATCTCAATTCTGTTGCAGCAGGCCCTGCTCATAGCCCGGTGCGCCGGATCGAAAGTCAAACTCACGAGGGTTTGGTCCGGACATGTGCGCGCTGGCGGCAGTGATTCAAAGCTGCCTGAACAGAGCCCCGTCTCAACAATTTACACACAACCCCTGAACCCTAAAAATCCTAAACCCTAACCACCCGTTGGGTCGGGCACGTGCACCTCTTCTTGGGCGGCACCTTGCTTTCCGCAGCATCAGCGGCAGCTCCCTGGCCGATCCATGTCAAGTTTGGAGATTGAACGTTTCAGAGCCCTACCCAGAGATCCCAATACCCCTTAATTAAGGAATATACCTAGGGTTACTTTTAAAGGGGTCTAAAAGGGATCTATAGGGATTAGGGTTTCCGATACCCCTTAATTAAGGAATATAGCTTAAATCATAATATGAAGCCCTATATGATTTAAGCTATATTCCTTAATTGAGGGTATTGGGCTCTCTGGGTATATATGCAAGTATATAAACACCTGCACTCGCACATACCTAGTTACACGCATACATGCATACATACATACATACACACATGTGTCTTTGCCCTATCTATCTATCTGTATACATACATAGGTAGCCTTGCCAAAGCTCTCGGAAATCCCGGGAGGAGATTCTAACTCGGCTTTGTCTGGAATGGCGTGGAAGCGGAAGCTCGGAATCGACACCCTTCGGGCAATGATCTCTTCCGAAGCTCGACGAATTTCTTGAAGGTGCTTTGTTCGGTTTGCACACTGAGAACACCCGCGACAATGTGGCTCAGCAACTTATCTCAAAGCCCAAAGGTCACGGATGAAGTGGTGGCGGGTGATCCCACGGTTCAGCGCTTGCAAAGTCTCTTAGATTTGCGAATACTTCTAGATGTACATCACACTTGGGCTGGGACGACACAAACCTCACCTGCAGAACGAGTAAACATGGAAAAAAGAAGTGGCATGTTCTACAGTAAAACGTCTTGCACATACAATTCGACAACATCTCATCCCATCACACCTCTATTCCTTCCTGAAACACGCTTAACCCTGCACCCTCAACTGTTTACCGACACAATAACGAAAGCTTCCGAAAAAGCGCATGGATCCAACGTTGCTGTCGAAATTTGAGCATAATCCAAGTGCAAACTGGTCCTTTCAGACCTAAGCCAAGCCCATTGCATCCAATCTTGAATGCCACACTTTGCACCTTACATCTGGATCCCAAGCATCGCCTTTACAGGATATACTAAACCCTAAACCCTAAACCCTAAACCCTAAACCCTAAACCGCTCTTGATTCAAGGCCAGCACCCTAAACCAACATGTACACAACAAGCCCAGGCTCCCTGAGCTGGCAACCCTTACAGTAGAAGCCAGAAAGTTGGAATATCATTATCGTAACCCCTTTAAGATAAATTATAGGGGATCCTACCATTAATCCATATTCCAACTTTCTGGAGTTCCCCTTACTACATTTGACCTTCTTCTTTGGAGCCCGCGGCATGCTCGGCATCAGCAGAGAACCCCAAGTCGCAGTTCTGGGAATGGTGTTGGACTTGCACGTCTGTTTGTAGGGTTTAGGGTTTAGGGTTTAGGGTTTAGGGTTTAGGGTTTAGGTTTTAGGGTTTAGGGTTTAGGGGCACGTCTGCTTGAAGTTATGTGACTAAGAATAATTAGTGCCTCTGGTTTGCCGCCAACATTGCCGTCTCCGAAACAAAATTTGGATCTGGGAACACATTCTCAAGTGACTTACCGTGGGAAACCATACATAGCTGCATGTTCGGATAAAAATTGCTGCGGAGAATTCGTGCATTGAGTGCGTCTTTACGGGCCGTGTCTCACCTCGAACCGGTAGCTTCCCCCCCGCCCATTTTGGGGGAGAGTGAATCACAAACGGCGTGAATCCTGGAAGAGCCGACGCCTCAGACTGTTCGAGTCGCTTTCCGAGGAAAAAAATTCAACCTGCATTGAACCCGGGTTGAACCCAGGTTTAGGGTTTAGGGTTTCGGGCCCCCCCCTCTCCCCCCTCCTCCAAAACACCGAAAGCCATCCGGCACCACCCCGACCCTCACACCCTCATGCTTGAGCTGCAGCCAGTTGTTGTTATTTTTTGCGTCACTTTGCGCCCACATCGTATCCAGCCAGGTCCTCAGACTTGTGCCTCGATGCAATGTGCATCGCCACTGAGGCCACGCCAACCCTTTGTCAGCAAGCAGATATGGGCCTCCGACATGGATGCCGCCTCCCTCTCCCTCACCATCATGCCATGCAAAGCCGCTGGCCACCAAGAAGTTCAGCGGTGCTGTCCACACGGAGACAACCTCCTCGGCCTTTCTGATTCTGCTTCTTGCAGCCCGCCAGACTGAGGCGTGCCTTGTGCTCCAAGGTGAGGTTGCCCTTGACGGTGATGCAGGGGCTGCTCATCGATCCCTGTCACTCTGCATGAGGGCCCCTCCACGAGGACTTCCTTCTTCACCTGACTGCAGGGCAGGGCAAACTTCGAGCAGTTCAGGAGTTGTGGTCTCCAGGTTTCCGTGATGATTCAAGTCTGAACTGAGTTTAAAGAAACAAGAGGGATCAGCTTTGTTCAGTGAATCTTTGATGCCACGGAGAGCAAGCTGAGTCTGCTACCATGGCGGATTCCGAAACGGTGCCAGAAAGGTGGGAGCGGATCAAACTTCACTGTTCGTAGCCTAAGATCCTGAATGGGCCTCGTGCCGTCCGTCGAGGTGCCCTAAACCCTACACCCTAAACCCTAAACCCTAAACCCCTAAACCCTAGGCCAACCTCGACTCCGAGCTGTGTAGAGGCTCTGCAGTTTCCGGAGGTGGGGTTTAGAGTCTATAAGTTGGGTTTGGGGTCTACTTAAAGGATCATGGGACTTAGTAAGTAAGGTTATAAGTACCTTAATTGGGGTTACAAGTAGTTATAAGTATAGTTACCCTAATTATAACCCTAGTTACTAAGTCCCATGATCCTTTAAGTAGGGGTGTTGGGGTCTACGCTTTTGGGTTCTAGCAGGCGACGAGGGTCGAACGTTTCAAGAGCTGAACTCAAGCCTCGTCGTTTTCGGCACTGTCTGCCCAAATTCAAGACCTGTCCTGACACCAGTACGGACGATGCCCTGCAAACCCACACCTCCCGCGGAAGTCAAAGGAAACCCAAGCATCTGCACAAGGACAGAGTCTCGTGCCTTTACATCCGTTCGGGCACCGTCCGCCGTCTCCCCGTGGCAGTGTGAGGCAACGGGAGGGACCTGAATGTAGGCTGCCCCGTGGAAGCATTTCCATCTTGATCAAACAGGAGCAGCATGCACGCTCGCGCGATGTCGCCCGTCGCGTCCTGCGTCCCATGAGCAAGAAGTGGTGCTTTGCTCTGCTCTTCAGACTCCCTGGGGCCGTGACCTCGACCGGCCACAGGCCCTCAGGGCACTTCCCCGCTTTGCTAGGGCCGACCTGTGCCCTGCACGCCGAGTCAGGAAGCTGTCGACTTCATGCAGAAAGAGCTGCCGAGAGCAACACCTGCAGCATGCGTGAAAATAAGCAGGCAGAACGGCCCCATAAAAGCAGGCAACAGCTGAGCCCCACACGCTCCCCCGACAGGCGAGACGAGAGGATGGCAGAAGTCAAGAGCCAGCGCACGACCGAGGGGATTTTGTGCGCAACGGCCCATGGACGACGCGAATTTCCTCGCTTTCGCAAAGCTACCAAGATGGTTGGGGCAGAAGCGGCTGCAGACACAACGCACTCTGCCATGCTCGGGGCTCAGGGGTCCGTCCAGTAATCATGAAGGCAATTGAAGTCCGCACAGTCCCTGTATGTTTTGTCCTTTGATCTCTGCAACGTCTGCTCCTCCTGTCCATCCTATCCATGTGGGTGGTTGTCAAAATCATGGTCCCTGTTTGGGTCCCTACTATAGTACGGCTCTTACTTGGAGGGTCGGGGAACTTCGTAACTGGTTATTTTAGGGACTTATAAGTACCATAACCCCAATTAGGGTCCCTTTTAGGGTGCTTATAAGTCTACTTACTACCTACTTACTAGGTCCCCATTTTGACAACCACCCATGTGGCTTGGTCCCACGGAAGGTCTCCAGGCCCGGCCTTGCACAGCAACTCGCCGAGTGACTAGCTGACTAGCTGCTGTTCCGAACGGTCTCAAAACTTGAGGCGCTTGTAGACCAACCGAAGCCCGCGTTGACCCCCCAGGAGATCATTCGCTGGAAGCCCTCTCGAAACAAGCTGGCGAGAGCTACAGTCAAAAATGGGGTCTATTGCCCCTGCTGCCACGATGGTTCGCAAGTTGTCCGCGGAGTCCATCATTCCAAAAAAATCTGTACACATCTGTACACGTCAGCCCGGGCCCGCCAAAAAAGAACTTCTCCAAAAATCGGGAGAAAGCGCTGTGCGCCGGCGGATCGAGGCTGGGCCCAGTTCGGCTACGGGAACCAACAGGGCTTTCTTCTCGTGTTCGCAGGCACATGTTCGTGTTGAGAAACTGCTAACTGATTCCGTCTGGTTCCACTGCTGTGTCTGGTCCTGTGTGGCTCCGTAAAAGGTCACAAGCGCGTAGCCGCGTCCCTCTAGCGCAAAACATGCCTCCGATACATGCCACATGATCACTTGAATGCCCTCTGTCCTGCAGTACGGATGTGAGCAGTCAGGACACGCGAGAGCGGCTGCATTGTGACTCGTCTTTCATGGCCAGCGTTGCCTTGCTGAACCCTGCTGAACCCTGGCCCAGCCAGCCAGCAGTCGGAAGCAGTATTGATAGAACACCGCACTTCGTTGAGTTCTGAGTACAAAGGTAGAAAACATAAGACTGGGCACAGGGGTGGATTCACGGCATTTTGCCATGACTGTGAATTCGCGTGCACGGCTCAAACCTTTTCCTGTCTTGCTCCTTGCTTCGAGTTCTCTGTCGCCATCTGTCGCCCCTTCAGCCCTCTGCGGTACTGCTCGTGAAGCTCCCCATCGCATCCAATAGCACCAGGCTGGAGCAGGGCTCTGCTGTGAGCACAAGCTTTATGTTGGAGGCATTGATGCTGGGGATGGCGTCGCCCGAGGCGCCCGGCAGAGAACAGGCCACAGCAGCTGCATCGCCTCAGACAACTGATCTGATGCACCCTTAGCCGCCTTAGCCTTTGCTAAAGACCTCTCTCTCCATCTGAGGAGCCAAAAAGAGCCCGGCCGGGTTCCTCCACCGCCCAGCCGCTGGCCACGAGCATGGCCCCTGCCGCGCTGCCGCAGTGCGCCGGCGCAGGGCAGGCGCGGCGGCCCAGCAAGTCCAGCGCGCGCTGCGCCAGAGCCCGGCCTTTAGAGGACGGGTACCCACCTTCTTCTTCGCCTCCAGCCTCTATCCGGCTACAGCTCTTAGTCTTCCGGCTAAACTCTGGCATCTCCTCCCTCCTCCGCCGGCCGTGCCTGCAGGGTGTTGGGGGTCCGCCGCAGCCGCCAGCTCGCGCTTCAGGGCGGCCAGTCCCAAGGCAGGCGAGGCCGTGGGCACGTAGCGCAGGCCCGCCGACAGCAGCTGCGCCTTCTGATAGCCGTGGAGAGCCTGACGACGGCGTGGCTGCCCGAAGCTGAAGCCCGAAGCCCCAGTTGAAAGTCCCATAAGTCCCGGCCTGGAAGGTGATGAGCTGCATCAGCAGCGGCTGCACGGCACGATTCACCACCTTGCTCTGGGCTTCCAGTCTCTAGGAGAAACCGCTCACCGAGACTCAACGGGCACACGCCTCCACCGCGTGGCTGAAGATCTGCTGGCTCACCTCCTGGAACCTGCTCTCGCAACCGTCCAACCTCAGCGAAGCGAGAAAGAGCGGCCAGGGGCACTTAAAGGATCATGGGACTTAGGAACTAGGGTTCCAGGGTTCTAATTAAGGTAACTATACTTATAACTACTTATAACCCCAATTAAGGTACTTATAACCCTACTTAATACTAAGTCCCATGATCCTTTAAGCAGGGCCCCTGAAAGCAAGTGCCGCAATTGCTACCGGAGGGCCTCTCCGTAACGAAGCTTTCGTGAAGGTCAACGCCCTGCATCAGCCTCGGGATCAATCCTTCGTCCTCTTTCACACAAGCAGCAAAGCACTGCAAAGCAGCACTTGAGCAGCAGGAACTTGAGCCTCCCCCCCCTGCGCCCTTTTTTCGGAGTCCTCCATGGCCACTTGCAGCCGCTCCGTGGCGGCCAGCGTTGCGGCCCAGGCCTCTTGCAGCCCGGCGCCGGCGCGCTCCTGGCGGCCGCAGAGCCCGCAAAACCCCCGCAGAAACAGCCAGGCGTAGCCCAGAAGCCCAGAGCCCTCTCTCCGCCCTCTTTGAGAAAGCCGGGCCTCGGCACGGAGGTGGTGCTGCCACGCCTCCTGCAGGGCCGAGGTGTCGGCACCTGCTCGGCAGACAGCAAAGAGGAGAGGGTAAAGAGAAAAAGAACACAAAAGCACAGTGCCTCTGCACTGGGAGAAGTTGGCGGCCATGTGGATCGCCTGCCCGGAGTGCAGCTCCCCTCCGCCTCCGTACCGCTCCGCACTTCCCTCCGCACCTCGTCGCTTCGGTCCAGCGCCTGCATGCGGAGCATGGTGAAGGCCGCGTGCTTCTCGTGGGCTCTCAAGAAGCTTTCCAGGAGCGAGTTCCAGAGAATCTGTGTGCTGCCGTCCATCAGAGCCGGCTGCGGCATATGGAGCCGCAATCTCTTGGCTTGCTCGCCCAGCACCCTCTGCTGTGCGGAATGCTCCTGCAGTACCTGACCCCAGGCAGAATCCTTCCACTCATTCCACTCTGCTCCTTTATACCCAGCGCTGCCTGGAGCTTCTCCATGGCCTGTTTGCGCGCCGCCGCGGCCAAATCTGGGCCGCCCTGTAGGCGCCGGCTGAGGCCCACCTGGAAGTGCTGCATGGATGCACGCAGCGCCCGCAGCCGGTAAGGCCACCTCAGGCCGCCCATAATGACAGATGAAGATCATAATTCCTGGCAGTGAACCAACAATCTCGGCACGAACGAACGCAGCATAACCCGAGACTAAGCCACAGCTCCACCGAGGCGTTGTGTCCCAAGTCCGCAGCCCGAGACAGGAGCAGCTCCCCAGCCTGCAGGAACATTGAGCTAGCACCCTAGCCGTGCCAGGAATGGAATGGTGGAGTGGTGCTTCAAGTATACCACGACATACCGTGACTTGCAGCTTTCCGCACCTCCTGGTGCCATGCGAGCACGTCGCGGGAGAGGCCCCGGGAGCTGGCTGGCAGAGCTCGCAGGTCCTACAAAGCGCAGTGCGGCGGTCCATGCAGCTCGCGCGACTGCGGTGCCACGCAAGGTCCTGCAGGAGCTCCACTGTGGAGGCCTCGGCCAGGGCTTGGGCAGCGCGCTTCTGCGGTTGAAGGAAGCCAATCTTGTAGAGGAGGTACTCCGTCTCGTAATGCAGCAGTTGCTCGATGTTCGTCGTGAGAACTTCATTGGACTCCTGCAGGCTCTGTAGCACCGCCGACGTTCCGGCAGTGACCTCAGATTCTCCATGGCAGCCACTTGCTGTTCGACCAGGCTTCTGGGCATGCATGAAAGCTACGGTTCCTGTTGCGTGTGCGGGTGGAGTCCCATGACCATGCGAATTGATGCGATAACCGTAGCCCTAGCCTAGCTACGGAGTTGTGGATGCAGAAGAGGTCGCACATCACCTTGGACAGGCCATACTGCAAAGGCATCCAATCCGCATGATCTGCCTGACTCTGGGATTCCGCATTGCTGTAGCTGTCGTCTCCGGGTTCCGACGGCTCCGGGAGCGTCTGGGCCTGCAGCTTCTGCCCCGTCTTCTTGAGCTGCAGCTCCGAGGGGATCTTGATCGGCGAGTAGTTGTTGATGACGGACTGCGCATCAGTGATGCCGCCCACGGCCTTCTTCTGCACCTTTCCGGGCAGGCCCTTGACCTTCTCGTAGGTCTTCTGCGCCTTCTCGACGTGCCCTTTCACGGCCTCCACCGCCTTCTGGGCTTTGGCGTAGGCCGTCGAGGCTGTCTTGATGGACTTGGAAGCGAAGACCTTGACCTGACGCAAGACTACTTAGAGGATCATGGGACTTAGTAAGTAGGTTATAATGGGGGTTATAAGTCCCCTAAGTGGGGTTATCCTAATTATAACCTGCTTATAACCTTACTTACTAAGTCCCATGAGCCTTCAAGTACACTCAAAGGACATGAGCGCTCTGCGGTTTCCGGCCTTGCTTGCGAAGGCTTTTGCCTTGGAGATCAAGCCTTGCTCGACCTTTTTCTCCACGACCTTCTTTGCCACCTTCTCTGCCTCTTTGGAGGCCACCTGCAGACATGGACAATGTGCATCTGCAGCAGCGGGGCTGCAATCCGTGGCACTGCAATCCCATCCCCGAACGATTCCGAAGGAGTCGCGCCTTTTTGGCTGAAGACGCAGGGCTGGAGTAGCTGCCCCAGGGAATGGCCGTGGCCACTGCCGCAGCCAGCGCTGCAATGTCGGTGACATCCTGCAGCCTGGGCGGTGAAGACAGTGTCCGGACATGACCCGAGTTTTCTGAGGGGCTACGAGTACCATGAAGCTCGCCCAGTCCAATGGTAAACAGTCCGAATCTACTTCGTGTGTGAAACAAACCTGTTTGCCTTGCTGTCTGGCTGTGTGCACACGTGTGGTCTTCGAGTGGTCTGCATGGGGAGCGATCTTCGGAATCTTCACTGGACTGGTCCTCCAGAGGTCCTCACGTGGTCTTGGTTTTGAGGTGGTCTTGGAATTGGTCCGGAGCAGTCCTGACGTTTTCTTCGGAATGCTTCATAGCGGCCCCCATAGAATCAAGAAAGCGCTATCACTCAGCCTGTCAATCCTTTCCATGTCTGGATCTGGTAACCCCGCATTGAATCAAATGAAACCGCAGGATCCACTCCTGGTGGTGCCCTTCCGTCAATTCCTTTAAGTTTCAGCCTTGCAACCCCCCCTCGCAACCCAACGACTTTGACTTCTCATAAGGTGCTGAAGGAGTCCTATAGGTAGCGACCTCCAATCTCTAGTTGGCATGGTTGACGCTTAAGACTAGGCCTGCATCTGATCGTCGTCTTCGATCCCCTAAGTTTCGTTCTTGATCAACGAAAACATCCTTGGCACATGCTTTCGCATTAAGAATTTCAGCTCTGACCGTTCACTACGACTGCCTCAACGGTCCCTATCGACCATTACCTCAGCTCGAGAAACCAACAAAATAGAAATTGTGCACCTATGCAATCGCTTGCTTGCATGGTCTGCGGTCCTCCCACAAGAATGCCAGTGGGACAGTCGAGGGCCCCCTTTAGGCCCCGGCTCGCCGATCCTCTTCTTTATCCAGTTCTCCAGCTTCGACTGCTCGGAGGCCGCGTGAGCGAAGAGATACTTGCGCGTGTGGGAGCGGCCGCACGCCTGCCAAAAGTCCTCAAGGTTTAGGGATCGAAAGAAGTGGGAAATGTTCGGAAACACGAGGATGACCCCGACATCTCTGCAACCCAAAGGACCCTGCGGGTCCTCCTCTGTGATGCCCTTGGGGAGGCCGGGTACTGGCTTCTCGGCGTTGAAGGTGTGGTAGCAGGGGTTCCCCTCCTGGGGTCCACCGCCGGCAAAGAGCGCTGGGTTCTGCAAAAAGGTGGGGTCGCAGTAGGCCTTGTAGTCAGGCTGCACCGGCTCAAACTTCAGAAGCTTGGGGAAGGCCGGCGGGTGCTTGGGGAAGGGGCTGGCAGGCTTCGGCTTCTTGGCGAAGGACGGCAGCGGACCGATGGGCACTGCCGAGAAGTTGTCGGCCGACGAGAAGTCGATCTCTGCAGGCAGCACCACGTCGCTGTGGAGGGACCTCACCACCGAATGCTTGACCCGCACCTGCCACTCGGCCGTCCACCTGTGCAAAAGCGGGGTTGAAAGGGGTGGCAGATTGGAGAAAGGCTACCTTCTTCAGGCTTCTGCTTCTTGCGGTGCAAGGCGCTTGTCCCAGCTGAGCGTGGCGTTGGCCGCCGTCTCATTGATTGTGCCAAGGTCGGGGATTAGGGTCCTGCCCCGCTGCCAAGACACAGTGCACGGCTACAGGCACGCTAGGCAATTACAGCACATTCAAGACGAGTAATGGGGAGCGGCGCCTGGTGTAGAAGGGCGCGCCGGTGCGGTCCATGCCGGTCGGACAATAGTAGCCCTCGAAATCCTTCTGCACTGGCTTGCTGCCCTGAGGCATCAGCCGCAGGCCCACACGCCGCTGTAGCAAGCAGCACTTCACCCTCATGCTGTTGCTGCTGTAGCTGATACCGGCGAGAACCTCCCCCTTTTGACAAGTAGGGTTCATCAGCTGCTGGCAGCTGGCAAGCAGGTTTGTCGGGCGACAAAAGAGCCGCATCTCCAGCCAATTTGTCGGCCCGCCCGTGCCGCTGCCCCGAACCGGCTGGCCGGGGAGATTGTACCAACCGCTGACAGCGCTGCCCGCAGGGCAGAAGGCCGAGCCGGAAAGCACTTCGTGCTCGGTCTGGGCGCCGGCCCCGACCTGCAAGCAGTGTGGCTGCGTGGTGGGGCTGCTCGTCACGATGGCCCCGTCCGGGCAGTTGAGCCCCCACAAGACCTTGCCGAACTGCGTCAGGCTGCCGTGACCGAGCAACCAAGCTTCCGTGGCGCCTGATTGGTTGAAGGGCGGTAGCTGCGGGTTGCCCAGAAAGGTGCTGAAGTACATCTGGCCCTGGAGCAGTGCCAAGAGCTTCTCGCCCTTCATGCTGGCATCGCGTGCATTCCCGCTTCCCGCCGGCATGAGGGTAGCGCAAGTCTTCTGGATGTCCAGGTTCAAGATCTTGTTCTGCCTGCCTTTGTACCTGCAGAGAAGCCGGCACTGTGGGACACACCAGGGATCGACACAAACCAAGCAAACGTAGCCTGCAAGAGCTCCCTACGAGTATGGGCCCAGCTGCACTCCCACTGCATCCAGGAGGTCGCTGAGTCTCATGGTGACAATGCCACAGCGGATGTAGGGGGGCAGCGAGACTGGCGCATCACTGGTGATCCCGTTGGGCATGCAGCTGAAAAGCGACCAGGCGCTGTCCTCGCACTGAGGGAGCGGGCGGAGCATGGCGGAGCGGGGTGGGGTGAGGTGAGAAGAGCCGCCTCAAAAGCCGGAGCAAAGACGTCACTTCAGGGCCCGGGCCTCGTCACCGGTCCTAAGCTGGATGACCCTGGTGGCGTTGTAAGCCGCTCGCAGGGGCCGCTGGAGCTTCTCCTCCTGCTTTACCTCAAGGCTCAGCGGCACAGACTCTTCCGGCGACCAAGAGCTCGCGACCTTCACGAAGCACGCCGCTCCGTCACCGCCTGTCTTCGAAACGGCCTTCACCGCCTCCATGAAGAGAATCCCGGGACCACTGCTGTCAGAGCCCTGGCTCTGAAAGCCCAAGCAGGCATTGTCAGTGGAGCAGCGCCACTTCACATAGTCTGAGACCTTCACAGCCTGAGTGGGCTGGCCTCCATCCAGCACCGATGCGCAGGACCCCCTCCCGTCTTTAAACTCCACGTCGAAGGGAGTCTCGACGAAGACCTCTGCCTCACAAGTGCCCAGCGGCGTCCCTGGAGGCGGCACCTTGCAGGACCACTTCTGGGGACAGCTTCCGCCTCGGTCTGGAGGCACGAGCGACAGAAAGTAGGCTGGGTAGCCAAGAGCAGCAGGCGTTCGCTCGGACTCTGTCGAAGAAAGCCCTGGGTCCACAATAAGTAGACAGTTGTTCGACACGACCGTGGGTCCTCCATTCGGATCACCATGAAATTCGAGTCCACGCATAACGTAATGGTCAGGGCAAGCGGGAACATTCACCATGTCCGCGGAGGTAAACCACTCCGAAGTCACAGGCTCCGCGTCTGGGGCATCAGGACGAAGAGCTTTCATGGGGCAACAGTGAAAGTGAATCGCCCCTGCATTTGGATAGACGTCGAAGTAAAAGGATGACATCGCTGTAGGATCACCGTTCTTTGTCACACCACAACCCACGGATGTCAGTTCACCAAGTGCCTGCCAGACTCGCAAATAAAAGTTGAAGGGTGTCCCGGCCCCACCGGGCCCCACCGACGACACGGACAGGCTGAAGTCGTTGTATGTGCATCCTTCCAGCTCGCCTTCTCCTGCAAACGTGGTGCAGTCGACGTGGATGCCAGGGTAAAGCCCATGCTTATCCACCTGGGTTGACCACCCGCGAATGAATCCACGCGGGCATCGCGCCTCAAACCGGTTGGGGCCATCCAAATGTACGTGACCCTGATACGGTGCAGCAACCGGAGCGTACCGCGTCGTCTGCTTGTACAAAGAGGCGTTGATGCAACGCAAGGCAGACGGCCCGCTCTTGGTCAAGCCGCCATCCTCACTGCAGGTCCACTGTCCATCAGCTCCATTCGCCTGCTTGGCACTTCCCGTTCCAACACTACCGTTCTGGAACCCCAGAAGGTACGTATCCAACCTGGGTTCTGCAGTGCTTTGGACAACAGGAAAGTAGTTCTGCAGGGGGGTGACTCAGAAACAGAAGGTGTGGGGTGGCAGAACCGAGTGGCCCAAGGTCATTGAACAAGATCTTCCCATCTCGTGCCAGCCACTGGAAATCTGTCTTGGACGCCGCGACTACTGATCCGTCGTGCCGGGCAGACAAGGAATACTGCGTGTACCTTGGCTTTACATGAGAACCATCCTTGTGGGCATAGTCAGAGCGAATAGACATGATGCAGCGCTTGAGCGAAATGCATGATGCATCGACGGCGCATGCTGTTGTAGATGCTGAAACTGCCGATGCCATGCACGGTGTCGGTGATTTCAGCCAGAAGCAGGCTGGAGCCTGAAGCCTCTGCGGAGACGTTCCAGGTGAGCTCCGCAGTGTCCACCATCGCCATGTTCAGCATGCAGTTCCCGCCCTCGAAGTACCAACGAGAACGAGGCCTGCAAGCGAGACGATTATAGAGGAGCGGAGCTGAACCTACAGCACCGGGCCCAGAGGCACTGCATCATTGCCGAGGGGCCCAGTCCGCTGAGGGCACACGGCCAGCTCAAGGGTCCCGTTCTTCTCCGAGATGCACCGCGACCGGCCGTTGCTCAGCCGGCCACTCCTGTCGAGCGTCCAGGTGTAGCCGCGGCACTTGCAAGCTGTGAGGGAGTGGTCGAAGCAGAGGCACCAGCTGCCTTCCGCCAACTCCGGCGACTTGAGTCGGAGAACACCTGTCTCGGCGTCGATCCACCAGAGTGTGCCCGAAGCATTTGGCGGGGAGAGGCTCACGTTGCCCTCCTGCGAAATGAATGGGCAAGCAATGCGACAAGGGCCCTGCATGTTCCTGCATGTCCTTACATGTTCTGCGAGACAGGCTATGCAAAAGCAGCGCTGGTCCATGAAATCACGTCCCGTCCTTGTCCACCTCCAGTGCCAAGTCCGGGCCCGTTGCCGTGGAGACGAGCTTGGCCGCCGTGGGCAACGAGGCCGACTCGCAGCCCGGGATGTTGTCGTCATACGTGGCCTGGATGCGCCGCTGCGCCAGGAAGTATGCGGCGCCCTGTGAGACGTTTGTGAGCCTCTGGAGATCTTCGGTTCCGACTTGAAGGCACTGCTGGCATGTCAGGTTCTCCAAGTCCCTCCAAGGGCCCTCCTCACCGACCCAGTCGCCGCCCACGCAGGTGAAGACCGTGCTGGACTTTGGGCCCAGGACGCCCGCGAACATGCGGGACGTGGTGTTGCAGCTGGCCTGCAGCTGGGAGCCTGAGGAAAACTCCTCCGGCAGCGGGATCTTCTTCATGGACTGCTTCACCTCCGAGAGATCCGCAGGCAGGTACTCGCACCTGGCGCCGGCTTCAGAAAGAAAGACATGCCGCAGGCCGCAGCATTTAACACCCCTCACCCCTCTGCCCGGCATGGCCCGGCCTGGTGCAAGTGCCGAAGGCCTCGCCGGAGAGCAGCTGCAGTGCGTCGCAGGCTTCGAACTGCTTCTGGAAGGCGCAGCGCGGCAAGTTGGACGGGGCTGGGCTGAGGTAGCTCCGGCGGAGGACGTCCTCCCAGCAGCTCTGCGGGTCTGCAATGCGGCAGAACTTGCCAGCAACGTCGCCCACCCCGGAGACGCCCCACAGCTCGTTGGAAAGCTCCAGGCTGACATACTGTATGGCATCGCAAGCGGAGAAGAGGGTGCAGACCTGGGAAGCCTTCTCCAGCAAGTAGAAGCGGCACTGATTATCCTGTTCGTGGCAGGCCTGCTTGCACTCCTCGAGCTGGAGGCTCTGGATCGTCAACAGCATGGCCTCAGGTCACCATCAACGAACATCATCAACCCACCCAAGGACAATCTAAAGCCTGTGGCCTGTTCTGAGGCCCCGGCGCTGCTCTCGCAGGTGTAGCGCCCAATGAAAATCAGCTGGTCGTCGAGCGGGTTCACGTTGAAATCCCCAGCTCCGTCTCCGTTCCGGGGGACGGCCGCGTTGGACTCCGGATCCACCGGGGCCATGTTGGCGTAGGCCTCCCCGAAGCACTCGCATGCCGAGAGACTGTAGAGGTCCGGCACCTGCACGGTGCCGTAGAGGAGGTCTGCCGGGCTCTGCGGCTTGGAGCACGACGGAGCCGCGATGGACACGTCACCGCTCTGCTTGGCCGAGGGGTGCCCGAACTGGAAAGGGTCATCAATCACAGAATTCAGGAAGTGGAGGCTGAAATTGGCGATACCTCGGTCGAAAGCTTCCTGGACCACGTCCCCCTGCAAGCAAGCCATGACCTCACCATAGTACTGCGCAGCAGTTGTGCTGGACGTGAAGTCAGAAGCATTGGCGTGGACCAGCAGCCAGGAAGAGCCCTCACAGCTTGTCGGCAGCGAGCGGCGCACATCCCTGGCCTGGGATCAGAAACTGGAGGATCCCAGCACGTAACAGCTTCTGAAACGTATAACGGGTGCATGGCTCCCGAGAACCCATATATTGAGGAGGCGGCAGGAGCGAGGACCAGCTGGCGTTCTGGCACGACCTCGGGAAGCTGTCCCATTCCTGCACTTCTTATCCGCAGAACCCGACAGCTCTCGCTAACCGCTAACATCTGCGAGCCAGCTTTTCGCTGCTGATACTCATAGAATGCGATGGAAATGCAGAGGAGTCGCCCCGGCACGGGAGTAGGAGACGGAATTGTGATAGTCGTCGCTGGGGCTGTAAGTGCCAGCCACCAGCTGGGCCCCGGGTGCTTCGAGCAGCAGCTCCGCAGTTTTGTGAGAGCAGTTATTCACCCGGATCAAAAGCCTCGGCTCCGCTCCGTCCCTCTTGTCCAGCGTGGTTAAGTCACTCCCCAAGGAATGACATGCAGACCGATACGCAAGAAGCGAACTTGAAGCCTGCGTTGCGGCCAAGCATCCTCCCATCCTTGGTGTTTTTCTGATCCATCTGGCTGCCGTCACTGGACTGCACCCAGCAGTCGTCATCCACATACGCAGCACCGCAGCTTGGCGTCTCGCGGCACTTCTGCAAGCAGGCGTGGCTCTTCTTGCAGTGCTTGGGGTGGTGGCGGCGCCGGTGCGAACCAACTTCCGACCCCATGGACAGCTGCAAGGCGCTGGTGGACAGCTGGTCGCAGCTGAACTTGCGCCAGCGCAGCGTGTCATCCAACTGCCCGGGGACCCAGCAGACATTGTCGAGAAGCTGGACGTTGATGGTTGCCGCTGGCAGTGCTCGATCATAGAGGGGACCTGGGGCAAGCATTGCATGGGCAAGTATTCGCAGGATGTCGGAAAGCCTGGGGCAAGCTCTCCAGAAGCAACCCTTTTCGCGCCGAACGTGGGACAGGTTTGCCGTGACGGGCGCTCCAACAAACGGACAGGCTATTGGTGGACTCGACTTGCAGTATAAGCCGACATGTCCTACATGCCCCTCCGGTTCTCGAGGCCAGGCCCCCGCCGGCCTCCGAGGGCCACGTGGCAGCTCACGGTGAGGCGCGCACGCCCAGCGGCCTGCATCAGGCCCAGGCTCGGAGTGCCGGAGACTGAACCGCCGTCCGGATCCAGGTTGAAGGCCACCTACAAAGCGACACCAAAGGCATCCAAAGGTCACCGAAGGGCTGTCGGAAAGTTGAGGCTTCGGAAAATCTGCCTCGGGCTCTGCTTGGGGCTCTGACTCTACATGCGCACTCTTTCCGCCCACTAGGAGGTCGAGCTCTCAAAACTCATCTCACAGCATGTGGCCCGTGCCTCGCCCGCAGCAGAGACGTCGCCGGTGATCCGAGACCAGCTGAGCGCCAAGCCGGGTGCGGTGCACTGGACGTCGAGGATGCTGGGCACCTCTCGCAAAGCTCGCAGCTACTGAGCTACTGCCACGTGTCGTGGCTGTGCATGCGGCCGGGAGGCCACGGCCGCCGGCACCACGAAGGACCGGCCCTGGGCGTCCTGGATCGCGGGGACGCTCAGCTCGTGGCCGGGCCGCTCGAACCAGCGGAGGCCCGGACCTGAGGAAGGCTATTAGGAGATGTTAAGAGTTCGGGGGAAGGATCAATTCGGAGGGAGTTCAAGATGCGCACCGTCAGCACGAGGCCCCGGCCCAGTGCCTCACGCAGCTTCACCGGGACAATGGGGCTGCCCACCTGCCGCTGGACTCTGAGTGCAGGAGGCCCTGGGCCCAGGCCCCTGCCCAGGCCTCCTGGGCCTGCACGTCGCTGTCGTAGCTGCCCGCCTAGCTAGAGCTCTGCCGCACATAGCAGACATAGCACTGCCAACATAGCACCAGTCCGAGGAGCCTTCCAGAAGCGGGCCTGCAGTGCCACGAAGCGGCTCGAGCTGCGATTGCCGCCGTTGGCCGCCGAGGCGACGCAGCTGCAGCCGGGGACTCCAGGGAAGCCCTGCACTGCGCCCCACATATCCGGTGGGAGGCCCTGCCCCGTCAGGCTGCGGCCCGATGTCAGCTCGCCCGTCTGAGCGTTCACAGACAGCCACGAGCACGCAGGATCGCACTCCAACTCGAAGTTGCCTCAAACAGGTGTGCCATAAGCATCTTGTTTGAAGGCCATGAAAAGCGAGAGATCAAGGCGCCCACAAGAGCGCTGCCTCTCCTCTTCATTAACGTGTCCCTCCCCAAAAAGACTCCACTGCTGCGCGCTGCCGCCGCCGCCACCATTCTCACGGATATGCTTACTCTACATACAAAGCAACCGGGGAAATAAGAAAAGTCTTCATAAGAAACATCATGCACTGGCGCCCAGTTCTAGAGACATCCTCTTTGCCGAGCCTTTATATAGGCAAACCTGTGACGCCACTAGCGGCTACAGTTAAACCACCACTGCGACATGCAAGAGGGCGCCGAGACACGTTCTGCCTGTCCCTTCCCCGGGCCGAGCTGCTGAGCTTGGCCGTCGCACTGTGCTTCGCGTGCTTCGTGGCCTCCGCCTCCTCGATTTCATCCAGGCCCCAAGCCTGTCAGGGTGGGACATCCGGGGGCGACCACGGGCTCCCGACAGAAAGCTGCATTTTGTCATTAGCACGGTCGCGGCACCGATGCTTTCAGCAGTACATGGTGACTACATACAGGTTACAGGGCCACAAAGGTCCTTCACGTATCCAGCTAGATTCGGTAGAGATGACCGATACGCTGCACCTCGCCAGTACAACACCCACATTGCCCACGAACGCTCGCCAGCCTTGAACATCAGCACAGGGCTCCCGTAGGAGAACTCCGTGACGGTGACATCCAGCGATGCCGCGAAGGAGATGCCACGAATGGGATCTTGGATGAAAGTGATACCGCACTGGAGAGCCTGCCAAAGCTAGGGTTTAAGGTTGGTGCAAGATGGCATGCCGGCGTCGTGCCTGCGCCTCCGAGCCCACGGTTCCATTGATGCGGCCGCTGGTGGACAGCTCCAGCCCCGCGGCGGAGAGGGAGCAGCCCTGGTCGACCTGAACCGCAAGGATGGAGCTCTTGAAGGCCCCGCTCAACCCCTCCCTCCGTCCCTCCGCCTCCGTGATCTCGGCCGTGAAAGGCTCGGGGGAGGAGTCGACCTGAAGTTCTGTGGTGAAGGCTTTTCCCGTTTCAAAGGCCCGGGCCTGGCCTTCTGGTCCTTGTAGAGGCTGGCCGAGGAGAGCGGCAGGTCCACCGGCGTGGGATACAGGCTCCCGCCACCGCAGGCACAGCAGGCCTCGCTGGGTCGCAGCTTCTGGAACGCCACGTCCAAAGAAGGCTCCGGCCAGCTGCCGTTGCACACGGCCGCGTAGTCCTCGCAGCTGTGCCCGGCCGCATCCTTCCATCCTGCCACGTCGTCGCAGAGGAAGCACTTCGTCTTGTTGATGACGGGGATCGTCTGTCGGACAAAGCCTGCAGAGCACCGGGTGCACTTGCCACCACTGATGTAAGAGCAGCCTCCGCACTGCTCCCCCGCATTGCAGCAGCTATAGGAGTAGGAGGCCGTGGCATTCGCGGCCGCATCAAAGACTCCAATCAGCATGGAGCCCGGGGGACACTCTGGCTTCTTTGGGGGCAGGGGCAGCTGCGGCAGCTCTGCAAGCAGCAATGGCTGTGCTGGGACTTCAGACTCGGATGGTGGAACGCTTCGTGGCTTTGGACACTGCTGGAAGCGAATGCCCCTCTCCGTCCATGGCTTCTGCATCTTCTCGAACGGCGAGTCCGCTGCCGTGGGGTTCAAGGCGTCCCGGGCTGCAGCGCGACCGAGCTGCAGGAAGCACTCTTCGGCTCCTCCGTCTCCCGAACTCGGGAGGAACATGGGAACCAAAAGCACCAGAAGCACCATTGCCATGGCAAGAGCAAGTGGCAGCAAGTGAGGCCAAGGAGATCTGAACACAGAAAATCTGAGCCGACAAAGTCTGCAGGTTCGTGCGAACCTTCATGGATTTGATAGACATGACAGGGCTGCGACGCAACTTGCTCCCATGGAGTTTATGCCGTCTCCACCGATATGATCATTCCTGTAGTTGAAGTCCGCACAGTCCCTGTATGTTTTGTCCTTTCAGGTCTGCGACGTCTGCTCCTCCTGTCCATCCTATCATCCCGAAAGGCTTGGTCCCACGGAAGGTCTCCAGGCCGGGCGCTCCCGGAAGGGTTCAACGTCAGGTCATCACTCGCTACGACCCTTCGCAGACAAGCTGGTCAGAATCTGTCCAGGGTTTAAGCTAAAGCGGTCTGCCAGGTTTTAGTTGCTCAAACCTAAAGTTCTAAACTGGAGACTCGCCTCATACTCTGCTGAAAGCGAGACGTCGCCATGTTGAGATGCTCCAGCTTCACCTGTCACAGTCACGGCTCCAACCAAAAGCAAAACATACCGGTGGAAACGGTTCTGCCTCCTTCTCTTTTTGTTCGCCTTCGAGCTGCAAAATCTTGGCAGAGTTCTTCTTCTTCTTCTCCACTTCCCTCGAGTTGCCAAGAACCCAGAAATATCTGCGGGGCTCTTCGGCCCAGATCATGAGAACCTGATTCCCTTCTACAAGGTGACGTGATCTCTAAGACTTTAAAACACCTCACCTGCACCTGCTGGTAGAAGTCTCTGCATCTGCACCACCTCCTACAGCAAAAGGGTCTGTAACACAATACAGTGGGTCTTCGGGATCTCTTTGGCACCAGGCTCCCAAGAGTTCGCGAACTCTCAGCGCTTGGCGTGAGCGAAGCTGCGGGGCAAGAGATACCGGCCACATCTTCACCTCAGTTCTCGAGGCATACATCTATACATATGTGCATGTGTGGATACGCATGCATGCATGCATGCGTGCATGCAAATATGTAGGTATATTAACATATATAGGTAGGTAGATAGATAGACAGAGAGATAGATGGACAGATAGTTCGATAGATATGTAACTAACCAATAGTAGCAATAAGACTACATAACAACAGCAATACTAGTAACAAGAACAATAGTACCAATGATCATTAATAAAAGCAGTAAGATTTATCATCATAAAATAGGAATGAAGGCATTTGTCAGGCAGGGCCCGGGGCCCCTCCCCTGCCAGGCCCAGGGCTGCGGTAGCTGTGGCCAAATGTGAACTTCTACTTGCATCTAAACTAGGAGGTGCTTTTAAAGCCTTCGAAAAATCTTAAGATCCTCTTAAGCCCAGTAAGAGAAAATATGAAATGTCCCGAAGCCCTACCTAGTTATTAAATCTGAGTTCATCATCTGAATGATCCCCAGCTCATCACAAACTGCGACCCACCGATATGCGATAAGATGCCTCAGTCCGCCGTCCTTCTCAAAAGAGAGAATAGGAACCGGGAGAAGCACAATAACAGCAGAAGAGGCTAACAAAAACACACACACAGACAGACACAGACAGCCACAGAGGGACGGAGAGCGAGAGAGAGAGAGAGAGAGGCTGTCTACATGCAACCAGCCGAAACAACGCCCACGACAATCCACAAGACTGGAAACCCGCTAGATCCCTCACAGCCCGCAACTCTGCACACCTTGAAAGGGAAGGGTTGAAACTCCTGAGCTCCTTTGGGGTGCGGACGTCGTGGAAAAGGAGAGCCTGCAGCAAGGCGAGCCCCATGGAATGGCGCCTCAGCTTTACGGCCCTTAAGGGTTCCTTTAAGGGCTCCTTCAAAGGTTCCTTCAAGGGTTCCTTTAAGGGTTCCTTCAAGGCTTTTTGGGGGTTCTGGTGTCTTCCGGGCGTTTAAGCAGAGGTCTTCAGGGGTTAGTCTCGCTGTTATAGGGCTTTAGGCAGCTTTACGGGTTCAACGTGTCAAGATAGAATGTCTAGGGCGCCTTGTTCGGAACCACGCTGGAGCTGTACAATCTCGGAGCCCCGGAGGCCAACGAGAGAACCAAGCGGATAATCAGAATGAGGCATGGGGGCCCGGGCTGATTTGAGTCGAAGAGAACATGAAGGCACCCTGCAATGGTATATGCCGTTATATGCCAGTACGGAATGTTGAGACACATTTCCATGTCGAGGCTCCCGAGAATTGACCTCGACACCTTCATGCTAGCAGACTCCCAATGTTTCAGTTCCGAAAACTCGGTGACCTTCAAACTCTAAATCCTAAAACCCCAAACCCGAAGGACAGCGACGCCACATGAAAGCCTCAGATACTCCTCCACTCTACTGCAGAGCCCGAATTCAGGCGGAAGGGTCTTCACCCAACCGAAACCCCGAAAGCAAAGAATCCTTGAAACGCGGCAAACTCCCACCTATAAGGACCTGACATAGCATCGCCATGACCTGAATTGGAAAAGCGGTCACTGCGCTCCGTTTATCGCCTTATAGCTTCAGAAATCTGGGGGCTTCTGGGTTTCGAGTGTGGGAGGTTGTGGAATCTTGCCAAGTTCCCTGGAATGGAGTTCGCAAAACATGTATGAAGTGGGGATGCTAGACTTAAACTGCCTCTGCCTAAACCCCTTCCTTCTTACGGAACCGAGGCCAAAATAGATCTAGAATCAGAACTCTCTGTTACCCATGTAAACCCAAAGCTCTCAAATTCCCAACCCAAATTTTGAGCCTTAGAGTTTTCCTGCATCAGCCTAAGCTCCCGACGAGCCACCGGCGCAAACGGTCCGATGGGAAGCTGCGGATCCTCTCGCTTGGGTACGGCCCCCATACAGTAACAGTCCAAAATAGGGCCACTATTAAGGTCCTATTATCTCTAGATTATGAATATTATCCTACTGCCCCTGAGTGGGGGCAGTAGCAAACCTCTCGCCACCAACATTTGGGCCCCTTTGACCACCTACGACTGCAGCTCTCGAGCGGGAAGCATCACCCAAACCCTGCGCTTCAGAAGCCGAGCCTTGATGCTCTAAGTGTTGAAAACCCCAACTGCCAGTCTCGGAGAATGATGGGCCCCCAGTAAAAAAAGGAGCCTTTTGTGAATTACCAACATTATTTTGGGGGTTTCTCATTCAACGTCTAGTATAATGGGCCCGAGAGCCCTATTCTACTTATTAAGCCCCCTGTATTAAAACATTATGGTCAACCCTTACTTGGAGTCGGTAACCTAGCATCCCACCCGCGTTGAAGATCGACCCAACAGTTCGTCGCCAGGTCCGACACGGCCATGATCAAAGGGGCCAGCATCAAACTATCCTGCAGGAGCTTGTGGGGGGTCTGTACCCAGAGGCCCCAAAGTAGTTCCTTTTTGGGATTACCTTATAGAATTCTATATATGAACCCCAAAAGGAACTACTTTGGGGCCTGTGGGTAAGGCATGACTGAGACTTTCTTTTCAAGCCGCTACACTGCGGATTCACTGCTCTTGCGACGCTCGAATACCAACCTCAAACCCTGCGAACCAACCACAAACAATATACAAACCACCCTAAATTTACTAAACCCTAAACCCTAAACCCTAACCCCTAAACCGGGAACCCCATGTCGAAAGCTCTTTGCCAACCCTTCTCAGCGAAGAGCCGACGCCACTCCTGGGACTCGCTGGCCCAAAGTACATCGCTGTACTCAAGCGGGTTCCATGGAGTGTGGTACATCAGAGCCTCTCAGAGGCAGGCTTAACTGGGCTTCCGGGGGGATGCTTCAGATCCTAAGAAACCCTTGCTGTCCTTGTTATCATCATAGGAATAATATGGGCCCCAAAACCCTGTTCTAATTGTGAAGGCCCCTGTAGCCAGAACTCCCGGGCTTCAACCTTGGCTTTGAACGCGACTGGGGCCCCCGAAAATCCCCAAGACCACGCCCTCGGCCCCCACTTCACCCGGGCTTCCAACACAAAGGCCCAATCCGGAGAATGCCAACCTGGCAAAGCTTGCAGCTGGACTGTTTTTGGGAGTGCCTGCAGGTTCATAGTGACTCGTTTCTGGGATTTAGATGTTTCGGGTTGTTGGAGCTCGAGGCTTCGAAATTTGTCTGATTGTGCGTTTAGGCGGTGGCTTGGTGTTCTCCATATCACGTATCTTGCGCCTAGTTCGGGACTCCCTGCTTTTTGTGATATCCCCAGTGGCAAGAGAAGCATGCCTGAGCTTCAAATAGTACTGCCCTCTATCATCCTCTATCCGTAGCCATGTCTATACTGCTAGCACACACATCTGTCGGCGAAATCAACGAATTTCGCAGTCGGACCTGAGGCATGCATGCTCTGACGGAGACACCCCAGAAGGACACAAACCCTAAACTCCCTGAGGCCTACGACTATTTTTAGTAGTATTGTCATGATGAGCAGCATAATTATTATTAATACTATACCCAGAGGCCCCAAAGTAGTTCCTCTTTGGGATTACCTTGTAAGAATTCTACATATGAATCCCCAAAAAGAACTACTTTGGGGCCTATGGGTACATTCTCGTAAACTCTAACCCTGAACTGTGCGAAGCCCCAGCTTCCCTCTCACTACCTCGATCCAGTTGGGGCCAAGGTCAGGGAGAACGGAAAACTCTGCCCTTCGAGTCGTAGCCTCAGGGCTCTTTGGAGCGTTTAGGGTGGGATTTAGACTTCTTTGTTTATAGATGTCCCTTTTTCGGTCTCGCAGAGTTTAGGGGTTTAGGGTTTCGAGGTTTGGGGGTTGGGATCTATTTCATGTTTCTCTGTGCTACGAGCTCTCAATACGTAAATGCATTAGTAGTTCTTCACGTTTGTGTGTGTGTGTGTGTCTGTTTGTGTTTTTGTGTGTTGTTAGTGGTGGCGAGTGTGTGGTTCAGTTTAGGGGGACTTTTTGATTTGGGCACCACACGTGTTCAGCTTGCGGCGGTTTTGGACTTTGCGGTATCCGCCAGCGCGTCAGAGGTGCTGATCTTCGGTCCTAACACTTCAAGTGATCCAGAAGCCAGAAGATGCAAACAAACCAAACCCTAAACTC